CACCCTGTGGGGTGGGAGGGGACACCCCCGGGGACACCCTGTAGGGTGGGAGGGGAGGGGACCCCCCCAGTCTGATGAGCCCCCTGGCCGTGGCACAGGGAACCCCGTGTCCATCCTGGTGGAGAAGGCCATCGACGGGGACAAGCTGAAGCACCTGATCACGGTGCCCTCGGGCTGCGGGGAGCAGAACATGATCGCCCTGACCCCCACCGTCATCGCCACCCACTACCTGGACAGCACCGAGCAGTGGGAGAGCTTCGGGCTGGACCGCAGGGCCAACGCCATCGAGCTCATCAGGAAGGGTGGGGACAGGGGGACATCCCCCCGGGGGGCAGGGACATGGGGACATCCCCCTGGGGGGCAGGGATGGCCCCAAAGGGTGGGAATGTCCTCCCAGGGTGGGAATGTTCTCTAAGGGACATTGGGAATGTCCTCTAAGGGTGGGAGTGTCCTCCCAGGGTGGGAATGTCCTCTAAAGGACATTGGGAAGGTTCTCCCAGGGTGGGAATGTCCTATAAGGGACAGTGGGAATATCCTTCAAGGGTGGGAATGTCCTTCCGGGGTGGGAACGTCCTCAAAAGGGTGGGAACGTCCTCGAGGTGTGAGAATGTCCTCCAAGGGTGGGAACATCCTCAAAAGGATGGGAATGTCCTCAAAGGATGGGAACATCCCCCAAAGGGTGGGAACATCCCTCAAAGGGTGTGGGAATACCCTACAAGGGGGTGAGAACATCCTCAAAAGGGTGGGAACATCCTCCAAAGGATGGGAACGTCCTCCCAGGGTGGGAACGTCCTCCCAGGGTGGGAACATCCCCCAAAGGGGGTGGGAATACCCTACAAGGGGAGGGGAACATCCTCAAAAGGGTGAGTGGAAACATTCCCAAAATGGTGGGTGGGAACATCCCCCAAAGGGTAGGAACATTCCCAGAGGGTGGGTGGGAATATCCCCCAAGGGTGTGGGAACAACCCCCAGAGGGTGAGAACAGTCCTCAAGGGTGGGAACATTCCCAAAGGATGGGTGGGAGCCTCCCCTAAAGGATCAGAACATCCCCAAAGGCGTGGGTGGAACTTCCTTGTGTTGGCCAACATTTGGAGGGCGTTGGTGGCCTAAAAACCACCCCTGAGTGTTCCTTGTCTTGGCCAAAACTCGGAGAGTGTTGGTGGCCTAAAGCCACGCCCGCGCTCTCCTTGTGTTGGCCAATGGTCGAAGAGTGTTTGTGGCCTAAAACCACCCTTGGGTGCCCCTTGTGTTGGCCAACGTTTGTAGAACTTTGGTGGCCTAAAACCCCCCTTGGGTGCCCCTTGTGTTGGCCAACGTTTGCAGAACGTCGGTGGCCTGAAGGCACTCCCTGTTGCTCCTTGTGTTGGCCAATGATTGACTGGAAGATGTTGATGGCCTGAAGCCACCCTTGTGTTGGCCAACACCTGGAGGGCATTGGTGGCCTGACCACGCCCCTGACCCACACCTTGTCTCCTCCCCAGGTTACGTCCAACAATTGGCCTTCAAGAAACCCGACAATTCCTACGCCGCCTTCATCGGCCGCCCCTCCAGCACCTGGTGAGGGAGAGGGGCCACCAAAACCCCCCCTGGG